ATAGCTTGAAATTTGTATCGTCTCATTACAGCCCTACCTTTTATATGAGATTCATTGTGGATTTGGTTGACATATCCAGAGAATTTAATGTTCTGGCTTAACATATTGATGAAACCGGGGATGGAATGACAGCAGATGATTCATTTTTTAATTTTATCATGAAAAAGATGGACTTTGGGAAGAGTTGTTCGCGATGGATTAATCTTTATATTTTGACAGTGTCAATTTCTGTTTTAATCAATGGCTCTCCATCCGGCAGTTTCAATATCAGGAAAGGGCTTAGACAAGGGTGTTCTCTATCACCATTGCTGTTCAACTTAATTGGCGAGGCGTTGAGTGGTTTGTTGAACAAAACTGCTGATATTGGGCTACTTAAAGGGGTATTAGTTGGATCCTCTTATCTGTGAGTTTCCCATCTACAGTTTGCAGATGATTTGGTAGTGTTCTCTAAGACGAAGTTGGAGATGGTAATAAATATTAAGAGACTGTTCTCTGCATTCTACGGGATTATAAAAACTTTTAAATTAGAGGTTATTGTATTTATTTTTAAATTTGAGGACTCAACAAAACAACACCCTATAATCATGGGACTATTTGTGTACTTTACCCATGAAATTATTGGTTAAAGGTTGTATTAATACAATTCTTCTACATTGGTTGAAGGCTCTCTTTTTTATTATGCCAAAAAAATCCAAGTTCGGTTATTTATTGCGCAGGTCCTATTCCTTCCTTAATCTTCAACAATTCCTCTTTGCAACATATTTCAGTGGGATTCAATAATTTCTTTGGTTCTCTCTCCTCCAATATGTTTGATTATCTTCCCCTATTACTTCGTCTTGATTTGGGAGGATGTCAACTTTCTAGAAAAATTCCAAAGAGCTTATTTAAATGCAAAGAATTATAATATATATTTTTGGATTATAATTATTTGGAGGGGACTGTGCCATTAGAAATCTCAAATTTGACTTCACTCGAGGCTTTCACCGTCGGAGAAAACAACTTCTCAGGCATGCTTAATGACTCATCGTGCTTTAATAATGTATTTAAATGTAATAAAACAACTTCTCAGGTAAACTTAATGACTCATCACGCTTTAATAATGTACTTAAATGTAATAGAGTTATTTACCATTGAATTTTATTTTGTTTATTTTTTTAATTTATTTTAACCTTAAAATACAAATATAAAATTATCATATTACTGTACTCATCAAGATATAATATAATATGTCATCAAAATATTTTGATGAATTATTTTTGTATGTCTCGGGTACAATTCCACCTATAATCAGAAATATGAATTACAAGCATTTGGAAAAAATTAAATGATTTGTGATATGTGATTATCACATGCAAATTATTATTTAATATGCAATCACCTAGTAAAATTATATACAATATGATAAATGATATGTGATTATCTAATATCCATACTATACTATATACATGTCCACTATATAATAATATATAATATAAAAAAATAACCACGTGTCATCATCCGGATAAAATGAATAATGACATGTAGTGTTCTCTAAGGCGAAGTTGGAGATGGTAAGAAATAATAAGAGATTGTTTTCTGCGTTCTACGGGATTATAAAAACTTTTAAATTGAAGGTTATTTTATTTACGGGATTATAAAAACTTTTAAATTAAAGGTTATTGTATTTATTTTTAATTTGTGATAATATGAATATTTTGTTTGTGCTAAGTCTTCAGAGGTGTCGTGCATTTGGATGAATAGACCCTTAAACCATCCTAGTGCTATTCTTCAACTTGAGACTCAAGTCTTTCATACCCTCAAAAAAAAAAGGAAAGAAAAAGACTCAAGTCTTTCCTTTTGAGCTGTCTACTGTGGTTGGACCACAATAATTCTACGCATTCCTTCGTCAAATTAAGGGTATGATTTTTTTTAAATATACAACTGTGAGTGGAGTAGGACACTTTACGACTTGTGACTTCCTTTTGAGTTGTCTACCTCAAATTATGGGTATGATATTATTAATAAATGTTAGTTTTTGACTTTATGTGTTGGCAAAACACTTACCAAGAAATTAAGGAGCAAAGAAAAACACAATAAAATAATTATGTGTTGGCAACTTTCAAATGCATGCTTAAAGCTTAAAGTGGCAGCAAAGAAATTTCTACAACAAATAAGAGGAGTTTAAAATGACAAGGAAAATTACATGAATGCGAAAATGTCCATTTGGAAATTGAAAACAATTACACAAGGGAATAACAGTAGCTAAGACCATCTCCAATGCTTATCCCTACTCTAACGCATCTCTATCTTTACTCTAGAGATGAAACAGTAATTCATCTCCAGCGCTATCTCTACATTATCATTAACTCTACTTTATTCACAATATTTAACTATTATAATATTAATTTTGTAAATTTAAAGAAATCATAAAAAAATACAAAAAATTCGAAAAATTACAAAAAAAAATTAGTATGATTATTTATCTAATTTTAATATATTTTTATCTATCTTATAATTTAATATATTTTAACTAAAAAAAAATTAAATGTAGCGCGAGCTACAGTACCACGCTAGATGTAGCATGGTACTGTAGCAAATCTGTACAGTGTCGATGGAGCTGGCGCAGCGTTGGAGCGCGCTACAGTGGAGATATGCGCTAGACTATTGCAGCGTTGGAGATGGGCTAAGACTGTTTAATAAGGCTATATATATATATATATGTGTGTGTGTATATGAGTAGTGAGTGAAAAAAAATAACCTAGAGAAAGTGAAACTTAGCAAAGCTTTGAATACCGTGGTTGTATTTGTAAACTAGTCACAGTTAGTGTTTGTATCGTATTTGTATTTTGGTTTGTATTAATAATAGCGTGTGAGTTTATAAAATTACCGAAAGCCCATTTATTCTTCCAACAATAAATATATAAAATAAATATCATTTCAACTCAAATGTCTTGCAAGTCACACTCGAATGAATGAAAAAGGAGAGATTTTCCAAATACTTTACAATGTTTACCTAGTTGAACTCATCGTCTCAAGAGGAAAATGAGATAGAACTTATCAAGTGGTCTCAGTAGTAAAAGGGAACGTTGCTCTACTTAAAGGTTTCGGGTTCAAATAGCTACTTCTGCAAGGAGTGTGTGCAATATTAATATATTAAGAAAATTTTAAACATACACTATTATGTAATCACTAAAAAAAAGGAGAGGAAGACGGATAGAAAGATGGCTTGAGATTTCTAACAAATTACAAAGACCTTGACTTGGACAATTCATTGTTTTATAGTCATGTACTTTTTACACGACAATATATTTAACGCAAAGTCTCATTTCGTGGTTTTATCAAAGAATATTCAGCTGCCGTGATTGTCGTTCTAACTTAAAGTACTAGCATATTTGTCGTTTAAAATACAATACATGTTTGTTTATTTGGAACCGACATGCTTTTCAAGGCAACCTCTTGGTAACAGGTTGAGGTTAGGGATGGCAAACGGGTACAGTTTCGTGGATTCCGCACCGCATCCGCTCCAATTGGGGCGGGGATGGGTATAATTTTAGCGGGTAGTGGGCGGGTGTGGATTTAGAAAGTGGTACCCGTCGCGGGTGGTGGGCGGGTAATGGGTTTGAGACATTACCAGCCCCGCATCCGACCGCCCAGTTAAATATCCAATAAATTTTGGACCATTATGAATTTAGGTGTAATTTTAGAGACAAATTTATAAATTCTAATATTATATAAGATATAACATGTTGTGCCAAAGAACAAAAACATTATGTTTTTGTCATTTATGTTTCTAGACTTTAATTATGACTTTTATTATGGTGTGTTTATATACTTTAAGATCTATATTAACACTTAACTCATATAATCCTTGGATTATTTTATTATGTTTCTTAATGGACATGTTTTTTTATGTTTGTTGCTTATGTATAACTTAAGTTTGTTGTCAGGCGGGTCTAGACGGGTACGTCGCTAGTGGGTAGTGGGGATGGATTTGAGAATGTACCCGCGTGGGCGGGTGTGGATTTGAAAATTTGTACCCATCATGGGTGGTGGGCGGGTGGTGGATTCAAAAATATTAGGTGGGTATGGGGATGGGGATGGGGTATTCGCACCCGACCCGCCCGTTTGCCATCCCTAGCTGAGGTTGTCTTATCCCTTCAGTGTTTACTCTTAACTTGCACTTCAATTGTTTCTTTACTTATTATTTGATCTTTAAAGAAAAATTACCATAAAAATATTAGATAAACTTTAAATTCATATTTGATTTGATTAATAAATATAATATATACAACACCCAACTTTATGGTAAACTTCAATTGTGCGTATTTCTTATTCAAATTGTGAGTCGAAGGATATCGTGTCTAATTATTTAGAATCAAAGTATATAAAGAGCATCGACCTAACAATAGAGAAGCATTAAAACTCAGTTGTTTCTCTCTTCATGATTTGCATTTTACCCACACCCAACCTTATGGCAAAAACTCCCTTCCTCCTTCCTCTTATGTTTCTCCTGCTATTTGCAACCTTCAGGGCTACTCTGTCTGCCAACATCACCACTGATGAATTCGCACTTTTAGCCTTAAAATCCCATATAACTCATGATCCGCACAACCTACTAGCAACCAGCTGGTCCACTTCTATATCTGTTTGCAATTGGATTGGTGTCACTTGTGGATCCAGACACCGCAGAGTCACTGCTCTGAATTTGTCAAGTATGGATCTCACGGGCACCATTCCATCTCAATTGGCAAATTTATCTTTTCTTGGCTGGCTCGACATTCATCACAATAGTTTCCATGGCTCTTTACCTACCGAATTAACTAATTTGCATCGATTGAAATATTTGGACTTTGGTAGCAACAACTTCACTGGTGTTATCCCATCTACTTTGGGCAATTTGTCAAAATTAGAAACGCTGGTCTTGCTTAATAATTCTTTTTCAGGTTCCATATCTTTCTCGATAATGAATATATTTTCATTAGTTAAAAGATATATGTAACTAACAATTTTACTGCAGGACATCTAGAGTCTGGAATATTTGATAACATGTCTAAATTGCAAGTATTAAGCTTGGCTGGGAATCAAATTTCTGGTAGCATTCCTAATAGTTTATTCAAGTGCAAAGAGTTGAGGCATTTATCATTGTGGAACAACTCTATGGAAGGAAGTATACCTATAGAAATCGGAAATTTGACTATGCTCCAATCTTTGTATCTTGGTTTCAACAACTTCAAAGGTAAATTTTCCTTATTTGCATTCCGTTCTCTTTTATTTTCATTAGATAAAAGTTGTTTTATAATTAACAATCTCACTACAGGCCATCTAGAGTCAGGAATATTTGATAACATGTCGAAATTGCAAGTTTTAAGCTTGGCTGAGAATCAAATTTCTGGTAGCATTCCTAATAGTTTATTCAAGTGCAAAGAGTTGATGTTTTTATCTTTATGGAACAACTCTATTGAAGGAAGTATACCTACAGAAATCGGAAATTTGACTGTGCTCCAATCTTTGTATCTTGGTTACAATAACCTCAAAGGTACACATTTCCTCATTCGTATTTCGTTCGCTTTTATTCCATTACCTTTTTCCTTATTGTTTAGTTGTGTTCTCCTCAAGTGTGCTCATTAATAAATTTTGACGGAATTAATTATATGTTTCAAGTGATATTCCATCGACTATTGGAAGTTTGACTTCTCTAGTATTCATAGATATTTCTTATAACAAATTATCAAGTATAATATCATATTTTTAGTTTATTTTGTTGAAAATATAAGATTTTTGCAAAACAAAAACACCAGCATTGATTAAAAATAGTTTGAAATAGATTAGAATTAAGTTTAATTGTGTTGTGACTTAAACAACAACCTTAGAAGTAAATATTAATAAATTTTGACGGAATCTAATCATATGTTTCAGGTGAAATTCCATCTGTTATTGGAAACCTTACTTCTCTTAAGCATATTGGCCTTTCTCATAACAACTTCTCAGGTAAAGATATGCTTAAATTGTAATTTAAACTATTTAGAGCTTTTGTAAATGGTAAAATTATGATTTTGACGAATTTATTATATGTTTCAGGTGAAATTTCATCAAATATTAAGAATCTTATTTCTCTTGAGTATCTTAACCTTTGTAATAACACCTTAAAAGGTATAATATCACATTTCTATTTTTTTCTCTTATACAATTCATTATTTTGCTCAACATGAAGAAATTTAATCACATACAAAGCAGTCATGATGGAAAAATATGAAAAAGGACATTTGAAAAGCAAAGCTCCCAACGAAGAATAAAAAATAAGGAAATAGCTTCTCATTACAAATCTTTTGTATGTTTCAGGTGAAATTCCATCGGGTATTGGAAATCTTACTTCTCTTGAATTGATTGACCTTTCTGAAAACAACTTAAAAGGTACCATATCGTATTTCTTCTCTTTTCTTTTACAAGTTCTATTATTAGTCATGTAAACATTTTTCAACAAATTGGGTTTAGATGAATTGAAATAATAGATTAAAGGTTGGATTGATACAATTTTTTATGTGGGAATTTTATCATAGTTTTAAGTGTTTTCTTTTCATTATGCTGGAAAATTGAAGTTTGGTTATTTATTCCGCAGGTTCTATTCCTTACTCAATCTTCAACATTTCCTCGTTGCAAGTTATTTCATTGGCATACAACAATCTCTTTGGTTATTTCTCTTCCGATATGTTTGATTATCTTCCTCGATTACATTATCTTAATTTGGAATATTGTCAACTTTCTGGAAGAGTTCCAATGAGTTTATTCAAAAACAAAGAGTTAAACTTTTTGTTTTTGGATAGTAATAATTTGGAGGGAATTGTGCCAGTAGAAATCTCAAATTTGACTTCACTCAAGTATGTCTCTATCGAAGATAACTACTTATCAGGTAAGCTAAATAACTCATCTTGCTTTAATGATGTACTTAAGAGATGATGAGTTACTAACCATTGAACATTTTTTAATAATAAATATTGTTGTAATTTGTTTTAACTTTTTTATTTAGTTTCTTCACCATAATAATATTTTTAGTAACTTTATTTATATGTTCCAGGAAAAATTCCATCAGTTATTGGAAACTTAACTTTTCTCGAGGAATTTGAGCTTTCTGATAATAACTTAACAGGTATAATATTATTTTCCATTTTTCTTTACTTAGTTACATGTTAATATTAGTAAGCTTTACAGTTTTTGCATCCAAACTAAATATTAAACTGAAAAAATAAATTCCAAAATTATTTTATCAAAATATTTTATTTTTACATTACAAACTTTATTTATTTCAAAGATTATTCAAACTCCTAATTTTAACTCTGTTCCAAATTTTCTGCAAGGCCAAATTCCTTCCTCATTATGCAATCTGAGTTCCCTTAAGGTTCTTTTCTTATACAAGAATAGTTTGGACGGAGAAATTCCAGATTGCATTGGAAACATGAGTTCTCTTTCACACATTGACCTAGAGAAGAATAATTTTCATGGTAAAATACCAGAAAATTTTGGTAAGAGTTGCACCTTACGCAGTTTTCGAATCAGCGACAACCAAATAGAAGGGTCACTGCCACGATCTTTGGGTAATTGCAAAGAGTTGAAGCTTCTCGACGTTGGAAACAACTATTTGAATGACACATTCCCAAATTGGTTAGGAAATTTGGATCAACTGCAAGTGCTTATCTTGAGATCGAATAGATTCTATGGTGAAGTGGGAGCTCAGGAGTTACAGTTTCCTTCACTCGTTTATGTCTCATTGATATTTCTCATAACAACTTCAGTGGCTATTTACCTATGAAATATTTTGAAAATTTGCATGCCATTAAAGAAGTGAATGGAAAAAAAGATAAACCAGAGTATATGACAGATGGATCAGCATTTGGAGTGTGGAATTATGCCATCAACATATCTTTTACAATAAAAGGGTTGGAAACAGAGTTTGAGCAACTGCTAACTATATGGACAGTTATTGATTTTTCCAGCAATCAGTTCTACGGAGAAATTCCTAAAACACTTGGAGAGCTTCACTCACTTATTGTCCTGAACCTCTCTCATAATTGTTTAACAGGTCATATTCCATCATCATTAGGTGATATGTCAGAGCTTGAATCATTAGATCTCTCATCAAACAAACTCCATGGAAGAATTCCAACAGAGTTGAAAAATCTTAGGTTCTTAGCCGTGTTGAACTTTTCTAAGAATAATCTCATGGGACCTATTCCTCAAGGCAAGCAGTTTGATACTTTCACTAATGATTCCTACTTAGGAAACCTGGGTTTATGCGGATTGCCATTATCAAAAAGCTGTGATAGTGATGAGGGAACTCCAGCTAAACCTGATAGAGATGATGATGATGGAATGAACTGGAAATTTTCAATATTGATGGGGTATGGATGTGGGTTGGTGCTGGGACTGACTACGGCATACATTATATTCAAAACTGAAAGACCATGGTGGTTCATTAAGACCTACGAGAGAGTTCGACAAAGATTTGCAAAAAAGGTAAAGAAGAGAACTCTTTGACGGATTTTTGCTGCAAAACAAGCAGTGGACTGGGACTTAATCCATCCACCCCTGGTTCAGGTCCTTCTCAATATCTGTTTTATATATAGTTTTCAAATAATTATGGTTTCCATCTTCTATTGTCTCATTTTCTATTTCCACTTTATTTTGGGCTTTCCTTTATATTGTAATTAGACGTATCTCCACATTCTACGGTATCATAAAAAAATTAGATTAAAAGGTATTATATTTATTTTTAATTTGTGATGATATGAATATTTTCTTTGTGCCAATTCAAGTTATTGTTTGATGTAAATACAATAGGGCCTTGGCACCCTTCCAAGTTTAGAGTTAAATTACTTTTTGGTCCTCAATACTAGATCTGCATTGTATACTATGATGCTAGAACATACGAAGAAAAACAAATACTCGATTAAATTTGATAATAAGAAGAGAGTTAACTTTTCTCATAAGTTAACTCTCTTCTTATGTGCTTTTTGTGGCCTAGTGTATTACATGTTCCATTAAATTTGATAATAAGAAGAGAGTTAACTTTTCACATAAGTTATCTGAACAATTTTTCCCACAATTTATTTCTCGGACAATGAATATTTATGTCTATATTTTTTTTCTCGGTAAGAAGAATTTATTAGATATAAACGCACAAATCTATCCCGATTGTATGTCTCATTAGAAACCTCCCAAGACCTAAATGGAGGAAAAGTGAAAAAGAGTAAGCACGATATCTATGTCTATATGCTTCAATCGAGAAAGGAAAATTGGATTCGAATTTATTGCTATGGCTGGTGTTGTGCCCTAGTGTGAAAAACGTATAGTAATTTCCCTACTTTGTTACGATACTCGTGTACATCTTTAAGTGGACTGACTGCATCCTCTCACAAAATCAAATGCTGTTTCTTATAAACTAAGGAAAGAAAGAAATTCTGAATATCAACTTATAGTTTATACAACAAATTAGATGGATTTCTACAATTTTAAAATTGAATAAGAAAGTTCTCATCCACAGAGCTGACATGAACACCTCAACCAATTTATATATAAGAATGCATGATACATTGAACACGGATAGATACCCAAATGCCAAAGAGCATGACTTTAAACAACCAAACCAATAAAAAATGACTTGTATTTTACCCACACCCAACCTTTTCATGCCATGTATTGTAGGCATTTATTTTTAAAATTATGACTCAAAATGACACCCTCCCTAAATCCAAATTATTTAAAGACACTGAACTAAAAATAGAGAAGCACTACACTCAGTTGTTTCTCTCTTCACGATTTGCATTATATACAAACACACCCTTATGTTAAAAACTCCCTTTCTCCCTCCCCTTATGTTTATGTTGCTATTTGCAACGTTTATGGCTATTTTGTCTTCGAATTCACCCAACATCAGCACTGATGAATCCACCCTTTTAGCCTTAAAATCCTATATCACTCATGATCCACACCACCTCTTAGCAACTAACTGGTCCACTTCTATCTCTGTTTGCGATTGGATCGGTGTCACTTGTGGATCCAGACACTATAGAGTCATTGGGAAGCAGTCGATAAGTAGTTGTTTTATCATTTGTATGGTGATATATCTTATCTCCTGGATGTTCAAATTGACCGAAATCTGTTTAGAGCCTTGACACAATTCTGAAATCCCGCTTATAGCTACTTTACATTTGGGAGAGTGGATCTGACACCTACCATAGAGGAGTATCGAGCTTTGATCCGTTGTTCGAGATCTCAGATGGATAGAATATACACCAAGTTGTCAATCACTCCTTCATTCAAAAAGAAATTACTCTTGATGACTGGAATGAGCAAAGAATGGGTTGTTAGAAACATTAAGAAGAAAGGAGACAACGAGTGCATCTCTTGGACTGCTCTGAAAGAAATAATTGATCATTATTCAGACAAGAGGAAAAAGCATGACTTGTTTTCTCTGGGGATTTATGGGCTTATTATTTTTCCAAAGGTGTTAGGGTATGTAGATGTATTTGTTGTCGACCTGTTCGAGAGATTAGACAAGCATTTGGATCATATTCCAGCTATTCTAGCTCAGACGTTTCGTTCTTTGAGTTCTTGTAGACGCGAAGATGAAGGATAATTTATAGGGTGTGTGCCCCTGCTGTTAGTATGGATTCTTAGTCACTTCAAGCACGTTAAAAGGGCACTAGAACGAGTGTTTCTGGACGGGTTTTTACCTTTGAAGGATTTTCTTTCCAAAGAATGGCATGGGGGTTTCACCGAAGAGAAATAGATGGTTATCTTCAAGGATATCAGGGATGGTGATATTTTATGGCGAGCTTCATGGAATGTCTCTTCAGATATACTTTACATATGTGGAGAACGAGATTGGATTCCTTTTCCAGGTATCTGGGGTTCTGTCGGGTATGCACCTCTACTAGTTTCTAGACAGTATGAGTCAAGACAATTCATTCTAGCCACACGGGACTTGTCAGGGTCAGATTTTGCATTCAAAGGAGAACAATATAAGGGTAAAGTCAAGGGGATTGCTGAGGCATGGAAACAAACTCGTCGTGTGAATCTCTTCACTTATGATATCGAGTTATATCATGAGTACAAGCAATAGAGAAGTAATCGAGTAAATGATAATGTCCCTATGGTGAATCCTGAAAATATTCAGCCCATGGAAGAACATTTGAGAATGGTGCCATCTCTGTTAGAACTAGCTAAACGTGACTTCGAGGTAGAAAGGAAACAATGGAGAGTAACCTTGCAAAAGTTAGAGGATGAAGTGTATCAAAAAGAGTTGGAGATTGATATTCAGAAGGGTCGAGCTGATCAGATTGAAAAAGTGGAGAAGCAACTTCGATCGGAGTTTGATGATCTTCAATTATCCTACCGATGAATGGTGAAATCTCAGACACCTTCCAGTTCAAGTAAATCACCTGCTGAATGGGGACAAGAAGTGGCAAGCCTAAAGAGGGAAGCTGGAGAAAGTAAGGAAGAGCTCAAGCAAAGTAGGCATCAAGCTAAGATTCTCGAAAGAAAACAGTTCTTTAGAGCAACGATTGTAAGAGAATCAAGCTTCATTACAACGATATTGAAGCCGGGAAGGTAGCTCAACCCGTGGAGAAGTCAAAAGTCTGAAGAAACGAGTGAGTGCGCTTGAGGCTATGGTTTAGGATTTTCAGAGGAGAGCAAATGAGCTTCCAATAGTTCCTTATGAGGGGGTTATGAAGTGGCGTTATCGGTGGGAGCAAGCTTAGGCGAGGGTTAAACTAAGAGATGACCTCATTGCTTGTTACGTAGAGCATGCTCAAGAAATAGCTCAATACTTGATCAATCTGTCTCATGAAGCTGCTGCTGTAAGTGAAGAACTGGAGCCTGATGCTGAATAGAACTAGAGGATTATGGAGTTGCTGGCACATATACAACAAATAAGAGAAATAATGCAGATTTATCTGTGATATGATCCAACCTTATAATTGAACTTCGTTTATAATATAAAAAGTTGTTCTAAAGAGTCATTCCAGGATCAACACCCTGCATTTTGCATATGCATTTTTATTTTTCTTACAATGCATTTAAATTTTTTGCATCGTATTTTATTCATTCATAGGCATATATTTCATATTCATTAATAAAATATCAACATTAACAACATGACTGTGTGACAAAATACTGGAAACTTCCAAGCATCCTTATAATACCAGGAAAAAAGCCATGGATGAAAAAATCGCTCAAATTGAGAGAACTCAACATAGTTGCAAGAGAATATTAGGAAGATACAAGAAGACATGATGAATGATCATAAAGAAATGTTTGCTAAGTTTGCAAGTCTACTTGAAGGAAGGTATCCTGAACATGGAAAAAGTCTTGTGCCCGGAACTGTAACTGAGGGACCATTTTACCCCCAAGTTTCACCCCAACGTAATCTCAGAACATTCAAGAAACGTCTGTTCATACTGGGAAATTACACATCAATCCAGTCTGTGCCTCTATGAATTTGTGTCCTGGATCTAGTTCACATCCTGAAGAACATCAATATCCTCAGGTTCCTGATCTTGATGAAGAAGCTAAAAATGAACAAAACAAACAATTGAAGGAAAAATGGAAATAGTTAGAAGGGACATCAGAGCTAAGAAAGAAGATACCAATGTGTGTGGAATCAACCCTAAAGAATTTAGTCTAGTTCTTGATTTGGTTTTGCCCCCGAAGTTCAAGATTCCTAACTTTGAGAAATTTGACGGTACTAGATGTCCCTCTGCTCATATTACAATGTTTTGTAGAAATATGATTGGATACATAGGGATAATCAATTATTGATACATTGCTTCCAAGAAAGCTTGACATGTTTA